TCGATGGAAATGTTGTAACGCTAAATGTACAGCTAGAGTGTACTCCCACGTTTCCAATGAAGACGTAATAATAGAGGTCAAAGCAGAACACAATCATGGTGTTGCAATGAATCTTGCAAGAAATGCAGTGAGCAATAGTGTTAAAAGAAAAGCAACTTGTGATCCAGCTGAGAAACCAGCAAAATTGATAATTCGAGAGTTGCAATCAAATAATTTTGCGGAGAACATAAACTCAGAAGATATCAATCAAATAAGAAAAAATATGCATGCGGCAAGAAGAAAAATCTTGCCAATATTACCTTGCGACAGGCTCCTAGTTTACCTACCTAAATTCGGGAGCCTGTATGACGCGTTGAATAAGTTTAACTAGTTAAACTAATGCTCGGGCGCCAGTTTTGGTCACGCAGTTTGCTCTGCGACCCTGAAGCACACCAGAGTATGCTCAAAGTAGACTCAGTGGAGTAAAAAAAGAAACCCAGGCGTTCGCTACTATAACCTGGGAGTATCCTCTCTCTCTAGTACCTGAAATGGTTGGGAAAAAACAGTGAAAGAAACACCCGGAATAAATAAAAAAGTATATTAACAAATAACAAAAAGAAAATGTATAAACAAAAGTCAGGCACCACACCGGTGTCTCGGTAAATCAAATTTAACTAAAATCTCATTAAAGAAAATCTTTTTAATAAAAAAAAAATAAAAATCGGTACAGGGTTCGGAACACACTCTGTATGTAGTGAAAAATAAATTAAACTAACAACTTAATAAAGAAAATCTTTTTAGTAAAAATAAAAATCGGTACAGGGTTCGGAGCACACCCTGTATGTAGTGAAAAATAAATTTAACTAAAAACGTAATAAAGAAAATCTTTTTAATAAAAATAAAAATCGGTACAGGGTTCGGAGCACACCCTGTATGTAGTGAAAAATAAGTTAAACTAAAAACTTAACAAAGAAAATCTTTTTAGTAAAAATAACAATCAGTACAGGGTTCTGAACACACCCTGTATGTAGTAAAATATAAATTAAACTAAAAACTTAATACGGAAAATCTTTTTAATAAAAATAATAAATCGGTACAGGGTTCGGAGCACTGCCTGTATTTGAAAACTGAATTTCTCAATTCACAGGATTAAACTAACGGTCCTAGCTAGATAATAACGGAAAACAATTACATGAAGTAATTATTTTAAATAATTCGGTTATTTAATAAAGAAATCACAAAAATAAAAAAAAAAACGGGTAGCTACGACGCTTCCTGTATTCGAAAACTGAATTTCTCAATTCGAAGAATTAAATTAAATAATGATTACGCGATAAAGAAAATAAAGGCGGCCTACAAGCAAAACCATTCAAATAAATATAACGAGCATTTCGGCGAACCCCGGTATTCGAAGAATGAAAGCTAGCTAAAATTTGTGATAAATCCTTTGGATACTTTCGATCGCCGCGTTTAAAATTATATTTTCAGATCGGAGAATGAGACAGCCACGTGAAAACTGCTGGTGGAGCGATTTACCCGGCAAATGTCTTAATTTAAATGAGTCAGGGAGGCCCATTCAATTCGGAAAACTTGCCAGGGTTGATTTCGCGTTAAACTGTGACTTACAAACTTGCTCGGCGGATTGTTCGAGGATCCTAATTTTGGGGTATATTGGGGGATCCACAATAAATCCAAGAAATAGGACACTGGACAATGCAATCGCGCGTAATAATCCCGATAAACTTTAAACTGCCCCAGGGGCCGGTCAGCACTGCGATACAAGAAAATTTCGGAAACGGAGTAACAGGCGAGAATCAAAAAAATAAACAAAGCAGTTCACCTACCTTTAATAAAATGACGGATTTTAACCACTTTTAACGCACAAAGAGCGACGGTGTCAAGTACCAAAGAGACGCAGACGGTGTCAGAAACTAAAGAGAGGCAAACGGTGTCAGACACAAAAGAGAGCCCTCCGGTCATTGTCTATCAAATTTATAATATCGGTCTAGAGCCTCCCACTCCGGAGTAGGGGAAAGCCACTTCCAGCTTTGGTGTTTCTACCAATGACGGGAAAAAAAAGTCCTTATCCACCTTGACAAAAATAAGTAGATAATTTTATGAGATTTGAGTCTACAAATGCCCACTCGGATTTCGAGAAATATTAAAGTATTTTAAACTACGAGGGCGCTCGCAATTGTTTAAAAAACGGAAATTCTTGGGAAACGTAAATACGGGGGTGCTTCGAAATATACAGAGGCGGGAATTAGTTAGTAGATACATTTTTGTTTAAATAAAAATTAAAATTTGTGACTTCGTCACAACCTAAAAACCAAGAAGAGGTGTTCAATACTCTTCTCGAGTTACATCTGAATACAAATCGCGGGGAAGAATTTCTAATGGTGACAGATAAGATAAAAAAATAATTGTTTTCCTGTTTTTCAAATTTAACATTTTTGTGTCATGGACGGAACATTCAAATTTTGTACAAATTTATTTTATCAAATGTTTACGATTCATAGTTTTAAAAACGGTTATTATGTACCGGTTGTTTTTTGTTTATTACCTGATAAATCAAATGAAATATATTACAATGTATTCCTCCTTTTAAGTAATAAGTGCAAAGCTTTTGGTTTAAATTTTAAACCAATAGAGATTGTGGTAGATTTTGAATTAATCATTCACAACGCAATATATAAATATTTTGGGAGAGATCTTATTCTTTTGGGTTGCAAATTTCATCTCTGCCAAGCATGGTTTTGGAAAATTCAAGAATATAATTTAGTTCCGGAATATAAAGAGGAAAACTCTGTGATTGGTAGATATTTACAACTTCATTTTGGTATGATGTACCTCAGTTCTGAGAAAGTTGTAGATTTTTTAATGAAGAATTGCACTATTTGCTACCAAATGATAAAAGAGTAATTAAATCCCTCAATTATTTAAAACAAACATGTCAACAATTTATCAATATTCCAACTAAATATTTGGGCAAATAGTGCAGATTTTTTTAAGAGGACTACTAACGCATGTGAAAGTTTTCATTCGCATTTTAATAGCTCCTTTTATAAAGCACACCCCAATATAATGCATTTTACAGGAGTATTGTTAGATTTCCAAGTAGAGACTTATTCAAAAATGCGGTCAGCTAACAATAATCAGAAAAAAACTGAAAAAATGTCCAATCGAAAGTCAACACAATACAAGAAAATATTGAAAAATATAAAAATAAATCTATTTCGCGTTATGTTTGTTAAAATAATGTCATTTAAAAATCTTCCCAATGTCTAATTTCATTTTACCTGTAAAGCTTTTATTTGTAATTTTTAATTAACTGTGTATTGCAATTTTGTATTCTTGTGGTTTTTTATACTAATTTTATACTGTTTTTTTTTTTTAATAAATTCGAATATTTTCATAATAAGTTGTTTTTTATATTATTTCATATTTTTATTCATGTATGTATAATAGTAAACAATATCAGCAATGTCTTGGATACCTACATTGATAATATCTTAATCGGATCGGGGAGACCCTCTAATGATTTAGGAACCTAATCTCTAAAACTGTTATTCGTGGCAGAGTTCGGATATCAATTTTTCTTTACCTGAAGTATGTGGCAGAATTCGGAAACCCCGGTGGATTTTTCGTTAAATAAAAAAAAACAATTGTATAAAAAATATTTTTATTGAAATATTCATCTTATATTGATACATACCAAATTTAAAAATAATATTTTAAGGAAAATCCAACATCTGAAAAGGAATCAGTTTTTTACTTTTTTAACTCAAATTGCATTTATCTAATAACTTTTAGAAACTGATACATTGAATAATGGAGATAATATAATCATTTCCTAATAATAACTGAAGGGGTTAGAATACAAAGGGTATAAGTACCAATTAAACTATTTCGAGTAAATTGAGTTTAAACTTAACTAGTCACAATAAAATCTGCAAATAATTTAAGTTTGTAGTTTTTGTGGGGGAGGTTTGTTTAGAGAATGCTACTTATAAGTATCATATTTAAAATAGAAATTGAAAATTCTTTCACAAAAAAAACCAGAAAAATTTATACATTTGTATCTCGACATATTTCAGACCACATTAAACTACAAAAGACACTGTAGGTTATTATTTGCTTCACTGACACAATGACAAAGATTTTACTACATATGTTTATAATCAGAGTCAATAATAGTAATAGTAGTAATAGTAATTTTTATTTACCATAAAAAATACAATATTTAAAATACATAGGTATACATTAATTAATAATTTGTTTTGTTGGTAAATAAAAATGAAACCCCACAAAAGGAAAATCCTGAGCGTGGGTGAGAAATTTCATTTTTTATTCCATGCTTCAACAATAATAATTTTGTAAAATATTTAAAATAAAAACATAAAATAGGTAACTATTTAGTTATTCTTGGGGATAAGCGCTGAGAGATTCACGTAATTTCGCGAGTGAAAGAATGTCAGTAATCTTTCAGACTATAACAAAATATACTTGAATGAAGAAATTGTTTTAACTTTGTGAATGGTAAACTTAGAATCCATTCTGTAATTTTCTTTTTATATAAATTATATGAGTTGATTTTTTTAATATCATTATATAATTTAGGGCTCAGATAAGTAAAGCATTTCTGGCCGATTGTTTTTGCTGTTCTTGGTACAGTAATTGAATCGATTTTGTGTCTAGTATTGTATGGATGGATAACAGGTTCGGAGTATTTTTTATCTTTATATTGTCTTAACAATAGAATTTTGGCATACAATTGGTACACATTAAAAAATTGTGTATGCGTATAGAGCATTTCAGTCGGGTAAATTCTTGGTAATTTATACATGTTTTTTAGGATACATTTCTGGATTTTTTGTAAGTTTTCTATAAGTGTTATTCCTACGGAGCCCCATACAATTATTCCATAGGATAAATGAGATTCCACGAGAGCATAATATAATATTTTAAGATATTTAATATTTAATAAATTCGAAAGATTTTTAAATTTGTACACAATTGATCGAAGTTTTTTTATTACATAATTTATTTGAAAATCCCATTTTAAATGAGAATCTATGTATATTCCTAGGTATTTGGTGTTATTGGTAGACCTAATTTTTATTTGTTGATTTCCTTTCTGAATTATTTGAAGGTACTTATATGTTGGTAAATTATTATTATATGAGGTAAAAGGTATGAATGATGTCTTCTCATAGTTTATAGTAAGGGCCTTATAATTAAAAAAGTTAGAAATATTTTGAAAATCTTGTTCAGCGGTATTTTTAAGTGTTTCCCAGTTATTATGTTGATAAAAAATTGAGGTGTCATCGGCAAAACTGATAACTTCTCCTTTGAATTTCTGTTCAAATAGGTCGTTTAAATAAATATTAAACAATAATGGTCCGAGGACTGTTCCCTGAGGAACACCACATTTAATAACTTTGTAATCACTAAGGATATCGTTGATGTTAACCATTTGTTTTCTATTTTTTAAATAGCTACTTAGAAATGTGTACGTTACTCCTCTAAATCCGTAATTTTCTAGTGTTTCTAAGAGTTTTTGATGGTTAACCGTATCAAATGCTTTTGCAAGATCGACAAAAATGCACAATGATGGTTGTTTTTCATCTATAGAATTGTTGATAAGTTTTGTCAATCTTGCAATAGCATCCGAAGTTGAGGTTTGTTTTCGAAAACCATATTGCCTATCTGAAAGGATTGCATATTTATTTAAAAACGACGTCATTCTCTTTTCAATAATTTTTTCAAATATTTTTCCAACGCTTGATATAATAGAAACTGGTCGGTAATTAATAACATTAAATGAGTCTCCTTTTTTATACATCGGTATTATTAACGACTCTTTAAGGGAATCTGGAAATATACCAGCATCAATTGATTTATTTATAAGAAAGGTCAATACTGGAGAAATTTCTTGATATAACTCTTTAAGAATTTCGGATGTTATGTTGTCTAAACCTGGATTTTTATGATTTTTTAGGGAAAAGATAGTTTCTGTAACTTCTTTGTTGTCTGTACTTGATAAAAATATTGATTTATTGTTTTTTCTTTGAAAAATTTTTAATTTTTGATTTCTAGATAATTTTAAGGCCATAGTTTCCCCAACTGTAGTATAATGTTCGCAAAAAATATTTGATATTTTTTCTGGGTCATTTGTAATATCTCCATCTGGAGTCTTTATTTGTGTAATAGATTGTGTTGTTCCTTTTGAATTAGATATCTCTTTAATGCAGTTCCAAATAATGTATGGTACTATCATTGTTCGAAAACCAATCAAAGGTGTTCGAACAAGTTAAAGCATCACCCTATAATAAAAATCAATATTGTCCAATTTATTTAAAACATTTTATAATAATCAACTTATCTGAAAGCCGCCCCTGTGCACAAAGCTAACAATCTATTTTTAGAAATTACAAAGCAGTCTTCAACAAAACCAAAGCTCACAATCTATTTTTAGAAATTACTAAACAGTCTTACGACGAAAAACATTATTCTTCTGTTCATAGAGAAAGACAAAACTAGAAAACGTTAAATAGCTCTCTTGCACTCATTGGTAAAACCGATATCGATGTGAGACACGGTCAGTTCAACCCCTCCATAAGTGCAAGAGACGCTTAGCAACAGTCGACTATATAACCGGCATATGTCAGAAAATAAGCCATTGCATTCGCACCTTGCACCAGTGCATTATATCGCGTTGCTTTCATCCGTTCATTCAACACTGCTACCATTCTACGAGCTGGGGCAAAAATAATTTACATTAATTTACTAATTTACTAAATACTACATAAAAAGAAACTTGAACTTGCTAATGCCTTAATATCATTATCATCATCATTGTAACTACATATACTATAAGTTAAATACATGTAAATAAAGCTGTGAATAAAACCAAACATAAGAAAATTTGAGTGTAATTTCCACGACTACTTCAAGCAAGTCCACTGCTTTGGGTAAATACACGACGGAGGTGAGAGGTCTACGAGCAGAAAGCTGAGGCAGATCTTCGCCCCCCGACAATCATTCTTATAGCAGTCTGAATCTGACTCCTGGGCAACCCTAGAAGTTAAAGCTCTTCAGCTTTCTTGTGAGTTTTATTCAGATTTTTTCAAAATCAATACGCTTCGTTCCCATATGGAGCTTGATTTTTACTAAAAAATTTATCATTTTTCGTTTTGTTTTTTTTTTTAATCTCAACCCCCTTAAGCCGCACTTTCAATTAGATTTCTTTCAAAATCAATAGGCTTTCATCTCCTTATATAGCTTGCTTTTTGCTAAAAATTGCAAGTTGATAAAATTTTTCGTTTTTATCAGAACTTATTAAATTTTTTTCAAAATAGAGCTTGATTTTTCTTGAAAATTTTAAGTCAATATCAATTTTCGTGTATGACTTATCGTACGAACAAAGAAAGTGACATTGTGACATTTTTAAAAGTCGTTTAAAATTTGATGAGAAAAATTTTGGTATACAAATTTTTAAGTTTGGATCAGTATTAAAAATTTTAGTTTCTCGAAAATAAACCTATAATAATTTTTACACAGTACTGTGTGAAGAGTATATTAAATATGCATAATACACATAATCATAGGCGAGAATGTGAGTATATCCCAGAACTGGCTAAAGATACTATGGGTACCAGTAAACTTATATGCTTTTACCCTTTATATTCTAAAGATAACTACAATGTTATTAGCATGCCTTTTTTTTTAGTAAATAATAAACTCTGTTTAAACAATTCATTTGAATCCTTTGTATTCAAATCTAACATTAACTAAACTAAATTATAAGTTACAAGGTAAATATTTTTATTTTGTTAGAATGTTATTTTTTTTTTTAATTACAATGTATTACAGTATGTATAGGTACTGTGATACCTTACCTACCCTTAGATTGTAATTTTTTTTTTATTAAAATGTTATTTACATGTATGCAGTTTTTATGTCCACCAAAAATAACTTCTAGATATTTCTAGCATGTGTCCCGGTTTCGCCAAGTTAAAATCTGGTCACCTTAACTTTAACAGAACGAGATTGTGATTTTTTTTTTATTAAAATGTTATTTACACGTATGCAGTTTTTATGTCCACCAAAAATAACTTCTAGATATTTTCTAGCATGTGTCCCGGTTTCGCCAAGTTAAAATCTGGTCACCTTAACTTTAACAGAACAAGACAATTAAACCTTTTGTATTCTAACCTCTTCAATTTAAATGCTTTGTGGCTAAAAAATTGAAAAATATTCATTAGCTATAGTAAAAAATAGGTATTAGAAGAATTTGAATTATGATTAAGTATTTGAATATCCTATTACTAATAAAATTCGTTTCCTCAATGAATTTCCTTGCTCTAAAAAACCGACTTCTTTTTAATTATGAAAAAACTAAGCATAAAACCTTGTAGTAGGTATCACTATTGTAAAAAACACAAGTTCCATATCTTGTGTAAATGAATAATAACGACACAATTAATTTTTTTAAATAAAAATTGCTATTTTTTTCAATTAATATTATTAATTTTATGAAAAAGGGGGTAAATAGGGGTGCTGGATGGGTGAAACATTAATAGTTATATTATAAAATACTGTTAGGATAAGAACAGTTATTAAAAATTAATAGCTATATTATTTAGCAATAAAAAATAGGATAGTAAACCTTTTGTGTGATTTGGCAGCAGCTTAAGACTTCCACTTCCTCAATACATGTACAAGATGTCCGCAATCCCATTGAAAATCAACGCAGAGCCAACGAAATCAGTGGCAATAGCATAGCCTAAAGAATAATATTATTTTTCCGAATTCACTCGCAGTCTCCCCCTGAATTATCCCGCAGTCGCTGAACAATCACTAGCAATCATTAAAAATCCCATGCAGTCAGTTGACATTTCACCTATTCGCCACTGTCAATGTAGGTGCTTTGACTAGGCCATCTAAGCCATTTTGTGTAAAATTATACAAATTGCAGCTTATGGTTATCCAAAGTGTCAATCTACAAGGCCCATTGCCATCAATTATTAATTTTAAAATACCATTTTTGGCACAATTTATCATTTTCCTGATCTACTTGTAAAGAAGATATTTACAAAGTGACAGAGTTGTCTCCACTTCACCTAGATCTTTTTTTTTTAAATGCATAATAAAATTGTTCGTATTTTATAGAAGGGCATACACATTTTATTTGGGGTTTTAAAAGTATTTTATTTAAAACGCATTTAATTTATTGACAGGATACATTTTTTACTTTCCTGTCTGTATACAGATGCAAATCACTGAAAACATATCACATTGCTACAATGCATCTTTCCCCGAGAAATATGTAACTAAAAAATCTAAACCTGTAATAAAGTACAGTGATAATGCCAATAGGATGAGAGAACACCTACATTTTTTACATGATATCTGCAAACATAATAATCTTATAAAAAAAGAAAATTGTGCTTTTAAAAAAACTTATCTAAAAACCATACGTGACGAACAAATAAAATATAATAGTGATTTATTAATAAAATCTAATAACTTACAAACAAGTGCATGGTCCTTAATTAACTCATATAAATAAACCTGTCGACAAAATAGATATACCACCAGATAAACTGAATGATTTCTTTGCAAATATAGCATCCCTTAGTATGTGTTTATTTAATTTAGATAGGTATGTTAAAGAATTATCCACAATAGTAGTTAATGCAACAAGAGTGGATATGATGACAATATATGCAATATGGACAATCCACTCGAGTTGTACAGTATATTTTTTCTAGATCCACTAACGAAAATTTACAACATTTTAAACATTAATTTAGAGATTGTTAAGATAAAATGACTATTTTAAAAATAATTGATAACTTCTATTAATTTAATAAATAAAAAAAAAAAAAACAAAATAGATTTCTTTTTAATTACTTAGTATTCGTTCTGGATTTGAACCCCGGACATATTTGTTATATAGTTTTATTAAAATTTATGATATATTTGTAAATATACTTGAATAACTTATGGAATGCTATTATTTATCGATTCTTCGCAAGAATTTTTTTATTTTTAATTATATTTAATCTCAATAACTAAAAAATATACTGACAATTAGTTTGACAGAATTATCACTTATTTAACATATGAAAAATAAAGTTAATTCAATAAAACAATTTTCAGAACATTTTATTCATGTCTTAAATTAAATTTAGTTTTTCTGATATTGCTTTTCATTCTGGAACCCCCAGTACCTATACATGTCACATTCATATTAAAAAAAAAATAATTGTGCCGTTATTATTAATTTGCACAAGATATGAAATTAAGATATTTGTTTACAATAGTGGTATTTACAAGTACATATGTTTAGTTTTTCCTTGGTTTCTTCATAAGCAAAAAGAGGTTAAACTAGGTAATGACCAAAATACCTTTTCCCATGCAAATTGTTCCAATTTAGCCTTTACTTTGGATTAGGGGAACTTTACAAATACTCATGTTAATGTATAATTTAATTAATGAAACAATTGGGGATTTTAATATTTCTACTTATACTTAAATTATATAGGTACATACCAGTTGTGGTAAAACAGCTTCTACATGTTCCAACTGAACTTTAGTCTTGTATTCAGATTTTGCTTGTTTGATGGCTCTAACTGCTGCTTCTGTAGCTAAAACTTTCGCCAGGTCTGATATTAATTCAATGGCATCTTCGGTGATTTTATTTTTTGGATTATTAAACCTTGTCTTTAAGGCCTGTTTAATTATATCCTAGAGGAGTTTTATAGAATTATGTATTTTGAAATATTTATGGAATTATTATTGTATTTAAAATACTTGTAACTTACATGTTGAAAATTCGTTTGAATGTTGTCCAAAGGAGTTTTATTAGCACATTCATCAGCATCCATTTGAGCTAATCCGTATTCAAATATTTGGTAAATTATTGTATTTAAAATTACCGTTTTAAATTTTTTTAAATGACAAGTTGTGGTTATGTATAAAATTCTACTTTTTTATTCTTCTTCTTTTTTGTTTTCAGAACGACAGGACCGGAGCCAGAGGGGTGCATATAGGGACAATACCCTACCTTAAAAATGGCCAGTCGTTATTGCACATCCACTGATCTGTATTATTTTACTGGATAGGATATAGCCCCCTAAAAAACGTTCCGAAAAATTGGCCGATTTGGGCAAATAATATGGCGGACCGGATGTTATTTAACGTAACCTCTATTTCCATTTGTCATTTAATTGTGTCAACCTCAGATAAATAAATAAATAATATTTGTAACCAGCATCTCCTATCACTATATAGCAGTGGTTACACGACTTGATTGGATATTCGCTATTTTGCATTGCGTTCGGTTTGCCACGTTCCTTTAACTCCTTTAACACTTTTAACTCCAAACGACTCTTTTAGCGTTCGGTTTAGTCCGATTAGTGACAGTTTAACACGCTTAAATGTCATTTAAAAGCACCCTAAAATTTGTCCCGCTCCAGCCCCTGCCTGACCGAACTCGCCTTTGGTTACACACCTGATTGGTTAGCAAAAAATTGACAGGACTACGTCAGTTAGGTTAGTTATTTTATGGTTATTTTGTGGTTCATTTTGAGTTTATTTCGTACTTTAATTGAAAAATTTTTGTGGTTAAAGTTATTTTAGTGCATTTAATTGCTTAAAAATGCCAGAGAATTGTATTGTGTGCTCGAGAAAGTATCTCAAGTTCAGTTCGATAACGTTTCATAGGTAAGTAAATAAAAACCATTACCGTTGCATCACACTTTTTTGAGGGGTATCATAATTCAAAATAAGGTTTAAACAACAACAATTTATTTTAAAGTTTAAAATAACATTCAACGTCGAATTTCGAATTATTTTATTGTGCCTGTGTTTAATAACTTTGAATTTATTAATAGGCTATCTTTAAATTAAAGTTATATTGTTATGCACACTGTACATTTAAGAAGGCTCTAGTGGCATTTACTTTAGTTTTAAAATCTTAGTATTGCTTTATTTTAATGACAAAATATATATTGTTAGAACACCATAGTTATTTTAAAGTATACTATGTTGCATTCTGTATTTACATGAAATCCTATATACCTACCTATATGAATAAGAAAACACTATTTTATACCTATTTAGGTTTCCAAAAGATCCTCAAACTAGATATATGTGGATGAAGAGTTTGGGTATACGTGAGGATGAAGAGTGTATTCAGTAGAATTTGTTCAAGACATTTTGAGGATTCTGCCTTTGCTAAGTCTCCAGGAGGAAAAATGTTTTTAATGAAAGGAGTAATGCCCTTATTTTACTCACAGCCTGAAGCTGTTCCTCAACTGGAAACTATGTCACATTCTAAACCTTCTACATCTGAAACTAAGTGAGTATTTGAACAAAAACTATAAATAATAAAAATGGTTTTTTGTCTTTGTTTAATTAATTTGAATATTTTAAGTATTAGTACGGTAACCAATAAATTTTGTAATTTTTTAATTACCTATTCATGTTGTTTTAATAACACAATAATATATGTAATTATTATGATATGTTTTCTTATTGTCTAAATTAAAATAGGTTTCATTTATCTCAAGTGAATGTATATTATGTTTACTTATTATATAGTTACACGTCACATAATTAATTTAATTTGTAAATTGTGTAGTAGGAAAATGGTTGCCAGTATCGCATCATCCTGGAAATATCTAATTCGTATTCTTGGAGACTTGTCTCGATTCTGCTTACGATCCTTTAAGTCTTTCAAAGTCATCCGTTTTTTCTACAGGTACAGTCTGAAGAACATCTAAAGCATCCCCTTGAAAGGCGATGGTCACATTTACTTACTTTTCTCGTTCAAACGTCCAGGACGAGATTAAAAAATAATTGGGCAGTATAAGAACCGATAATTGGATCAATCTCTTAAGGCTAAGACACGCTAAGATACTTTTGGGTGAATATAACCAGGAAACCATGGCAGGAAACATCGGAAGCCTGTGTGAGATCTGTATACCCATTTATAAATGGTAATGTTAGTACCCGTGACGCCATCTATGTTTCAGCTTCATATAAGTGTTTCTCCTTATATCACAGTCATCTGTAGTCTGTAACCCCGTAGGATTATAGATCGTACGTAGATGCCGCCACGAGTACTAAATAAGAGTCAGATGCGCATTGTCTCGTATTACAAGTTCGTATTTCATCTTGAGTTTTGTCTAGTATAACCATTACTGAATTACTGTGTTTATCAGAATACTAGAGAATAAAAGCTTACAACAAGGTGTTGTTTTATTGAGTAGTGTATAAATAAGGCATACATCACAGCCTGCATCTCCCTGAGCAAGAACAGGCTTCGTATTGTAACAGGGATCCTTACCGGGCATTATCGACTTAAAGGACACCTTAGTAAACTGAGAGTAGTAGAGGATAGTGAGTGCAGATTCTGTGAGGAGGAGGATGAAACCTCCATTCACATTCTAACTGAATGTGTAGTACTCCAGACTCCAAGGGCACTATACCTAGTAGGAGGATATCAAATAGAAAAGAGAGAGAGATTTACCTAACACGAAGCCACTCCAAATCCTACACTTCCTTGGGAAGATAGGATTGGAAGGGTCGTTATAGGCATTGAGACATTTCCTTGGTGCATTAGCGACAGAAGGGGCACAATAGATCTTTTAGATCGCAGTGTATTAACACCCCATTCCCAACAACATCTCAAGTGAATGTATATTATATTTACTTATTATCACGTCTCATAATTAATTTAATTTGTAAATTGTGTGGTAGGAAAATTGTTGGGTTTTATTTATCTGTAGTTAATGAATATTAGTTTTAGTTATCTAGATACCTGTCACATAATTATTTGATTTATAAATTATGTGAAAGGAAAATTGTTGGCAACTAAATTATTATTATTATAATCACCCCATTATCCATTATTAATTGTTATTAAACCAAATGAGTACAATAACACAACGTCTCTAAAAAATTGCTTAACGTTGTTCTATTTCTAACTGACAAGAATTCATCGAAATTAAGTTTTATTATTCAAAATATTGTGTATTAGAAAACCTTGGCAATATTTTAAAACGGTAATTATGAACTATTTATTACATAAGTATCGCTTTATTCTAAACTGTTATTATAACATTTGTTTTGTTTTCTAGATCTAACCCAACTATTTAATAAAATGAATTACATACCTATTATAAAAATTGTTTTTTTAACCCTACTTTCCCAATTATTAAAAACCATAAATATTTTGTGCACAAAATTTAATTAACTTAAAAGGGACTAACAATAAACATATACTTTATTCTATTTTTTATTATATATATATAAGCGGTACTCATAACAAATCAATAAAAATAATTTACAAAAGAATCGATATTATTAAAAAATATTAGCACAAAAATTTAGAATTTATAAAACCTATCATTGCAACGTTTATTCAAATTATTTGAGTATAAAAATAATGTATGTTTTTAATTTAAAAAATATATGTATTGGTCGACTGAAAAATTAATTTTTGACGGTTTTCTATAAACATCTCATATTAGAAACATTGATCCATTGAAATATCTCAAAACTAATAAAATAATATAAATCAAAAGCATTTCTATTGACATTTATTTGATACGCTACTGGATAATAAAACTAACAAACCCCGCTCTTCCCCTCCTAACAACTGGCTTGTATATGTTGCTTTCAAACAAACGCAATGTAAATTTTTGACATTCAGTTATCTATTATTATTTATTTATCTGAGGTGTCAACAAGCTACGATGAGATGTTTTTATTGTGGAAAACGAAGTAAAAAAAAAGAGTATGAAATAAACAATAAACGTTCATTCCTGAAAACACAATATGCTTCACGTTTCCATTTTTATATTTTCTTTCATAAAAAATCAAATCATGGGTGAAATTTCCCGAAGGACATCGCCCGCAAAAGGAATAGAAGTAGAATAAGAAGAAAAACTAATCAAATTATAGGTTAGGTATATCAAATTAACCCAAATTTCAGTTCTGTGAACCCACCATAATTTGCCCAAATCGGCCAGCATTGTTGCACTTCCGGTCTCCTTGGTGGAACGATTTTTTAGTATGCTAAATATAGCCTATTCGCTCCGTGCGAAGTCATGGAAAGGGAAGCAAAAGCGATACTAGCGCTAGCTGCGGATAATTCGTGCATTTTAGGGCGATATTTTGTAATTTTGGCATATCAAATACACGTATACATTTTACTTTTTTTCAAAAAAAGTAGGTAAAAACAATACAATAAGCAACCGGAGTTGCTGTGTTGAAAATTGTACAAATACTAGCAAAAAAATAGTGAAACATATAAAAAATTTCAGTAGCAAAGTGGAAATTAAATCAAAGAAATAAATGGATAAATAAATAAGAAGAAACATTACCTTTATTTTTTTAATAATAACCGTAATGCTGCAAATAGTAGACATCAGAAACTTGAAAGGTTTTAAATAAACAATAAATTATCATTTTACCATGTTATTTAATATCCCTTATTCTTAAATGTTCATTCAGCAAGGACTAGATTTCAAGATTTCTGCCTTTGATTATTATATGTGGTTGGAACGCAATTTTGTAACTTACTGATGGGAAATCAGTTTTAATCATTTATTCTATGTTTTCTTTCGAACAAAAATGAAAATATAAGTAATGATCCTTTTTTTATAAATTTTAAATTTTTTATTTTGACAGAATATACTAATTCTTCAATGAAAACTTATTAGACTTAGGCAACTTCTCATACATTTTCCAGTAAATACTGTTGCCTGCCTATATTTTATTATTGATTTTTTTCGATTATACATAATTTTCTTTAATTTAAGCGATAAAAATATATATTAATAATAAATTAATGTTTTACTTGTTTTACAAATCCATATACTTTTATTAAAACTACCATATATACTTTTTAATTACGAATTCTATTAAAAGTTGCATTTGTCAGTGTACGCAGAAAT